CGTTATCTCTGGTAACCCTTAATGGGCCTTTGCTGACCAGGACTGAACAATGAGGCTTTAAAGTTTTGTATATAGATAACAGATGAGGCATGGGAAGAAGAGATAATTTGTTTTTTAAAATTTTTTATATATTTTATTTTTTCTTTTTTCTTTTATTTTTTTATTATTGAAAAGGAAAAAAATATAGAAAGTGCTTTATCAAAAAAATGAAATACAACAAAAAAGTTAATATATCATTATAACAGTAAACAATTACAATTCTTTATATATTTATTTAATGCAAATATTCTAGTACGTAAATATCTTTAATACATTTATATGACTATCATGTTCTTTGTTTTTTATTTTTTTAACCTATTGTATTTTGTATAAATGAGTCCCATATTCCATTGTACTTGTCCATACAAAGTCTATGTCTATAGGCAATCCACTCGTAAGTAGCAAGTGAAATCAGGTCATCAATCCATTGAATAAATGGGGCCATATATTTATCTTTCCAATGCCGCAATATCAGTCTTTTGGCCATAGTAAGGGCACAGAGAATCCATTTATGTTGTCCGGTTGTCAAGTTCCATGTACTAGGTATAAAGTTCAAAAGAATATTATCCTCTGAAAATTTTAGCTTTTGTCACATAATCGTATTTATATAGTCCACTACTTTCTCCCCAAACTTGGTAAGTATAGGACATTATAGAAACATTGGTTTTAAAGAAGTATTATCCTTATTACATCTCCAACAAAATGCTGTTTTTGACAATCCTTTTCTATATAAACGTAATAGAGTACAATAAATTCTAAATAACTATTTTTGTTGTATAAGTTGTAATTTGGGGTCCATTGACAGTCTTGCTATAGAAGTTAAAACATTCTCCCATTGTCTAGACAATATAAGAACCTCTAATTCTTTATTCCACACATTTCTTAACATCTGCGTAAGAAGACATAATTTGTTGTGTTTTAAGAGAAGGTGATAAGTTACTAAAATTGTTTATACTGGTTGTGATGAAGAGGGAACACACACCCTTCCTTCCTCCCTCCCTCCCTCCCTCCCTCCCTCCCTTCCTTCCTCATTTTCTATTTGTTCTTTTTATTCTTTAATTTTTTTTAGTTTATTTAGTTCTTATCTTTTTACCTGTAATGTTCAATAAAATTATTATTAAAAAAAAAAAGCAAGCCAAACACATTAGGGTTACAGTTAGGTGTGAAACAGGTTTTCTATACTTAGAAACACTAAACAGTATTCAGTGTTTTTGAGTAAATATGGCTTGACTTTCTGAATCAAAACACAGGCTAATCTCACTGCTGTCAAAATCAAGATACATCCTAATGCCATTAACACAGATCACAGCACGCAGCAAAGAGGATGCCCAAGATTAAAGAACAGAACTGACTAATTTTATAAAATCAGCATCTCATTTTAGCAAAGTCTGCAGAAAAGAACAGTGTACCTGGAAAATAGGACAGCCACCTTTCTAAAGCCAGATTTTCAAAATTCTGATCCTTCAGGATAGAAGTGCTTTTTGCTTTTTATTAGATGAGCTGTGCTGGCTCTTTTGCCCTTTGATTTAATAAAAGGTCCAACAGAAACTGGCCAACTGATCTGTTATAATGCACCAAAATGTCACTTCAGTCCTGTAGCCAAGAGCAGAAGGAACCAAGAGCAGAGATCTCACCTGTGAGTTACTTGAGAGCCCCGTAAACTGGACATGGTCTCTTCAAGGTTCTGCCGCAGATCAAGCACATTCTGTACTGTCCTCTTTCTCTGGGATTCAGGATCTGTTGGGAAAATGGATACTGTGTTCAAGGTTGACATTATGTTGAAGGTACATTATATCACTCAGCGGGTGGATGGCAACTGTAGTTTTTCCACATATCCCATAAGTCTTTACATGGCTTTCATCTCTCCATTCATCTATGACTTATCACCGCTACATCCATACTCATACCCAGCTTTGCACAAATACAGTATTTACCTATCTCACTTGTTCATATTGCCCTTCAGCTAATGGCGTGTATGTGCATGTACCCTTTGACCAAGCCAAGTTGGCTGTAGTGAAAAATTAAAATGGACAAAGGACCACAACGTGAGAGTAATGGAATGGGAATCCTAAACCCTGAAAGCCAGCAAGGAGGAGTGAGTCTGATCTCCATAGGGAGGCCATTCCAAAGTATCAGCACTGCCACGGAAAAACAGTGCCTTCTGTCCTTGACCCCTCTTGGCTCTTGTTGCTCCCTACAAGATCTAGGGTGTCAGGCAGATTCCCTTGGAGCAGGCAGTCCTGCAAGTATCCAGGCACCAAGCCATGAAGGACTTTATAGGTTGACAACAACACCTTAAATTAAACCCCCAAACCAATCAGCAACCAGTGCAGGCCCACAGAGTTGGTGTTATGTGACCCAAATGCCAGAACGTGGGGTAGAGTGATGGCTGGTTGTTGGGGCATCCCAGAGGGATGACAGAGGTGCTGCGGTTTTGCTTTTTGTTTTGTTTTTTATGGTTCTATGGCTTTGTTGTTGTGCTTTAAGATGGGCATCCATACAAATCTTACAAATAAATGTATGTATGTATGCATGCATGCATGTTTGGGCCACAACATAATTAATGGCATAGAAGCATTTATTATGCATAATGGTTTTTGAAACACTTTGATGCAAAGTGTCCTACAGTCTCTATCATTATTCCACACAAGACAGGGAGTCTATAGGACATAACTAAAATTCATGTTCTGAGTCTATGGACAGACAAGGATTTGATCCTGATGTTTGCAAATCCAAGTCTAACTGTCCATTGAAAGTCCATCCAACCAATCATCTCTTGCTTACTAAAAATAGTTTTCCTTGTTTTTCAAGATATATATATAGAGACAGAGACAGACAGACAGACAGACAGAGATCTTTTCTCACTCTCAGTTTATTACACTTTTTAAAATCTTTCTGTTCCACAGGCTTAATCTAGATCAAGCATCCATTAACGCTGTAACTGCATTATATTCTCTTCTATAGTATATGGGGCTTGAAGCATCTGCCTTTGAATTAACATTGCAAACAAATTCAATTCTTAAACAACAAACTTACACACCACTACTGGCCTCCTACTGAGGCAGCAGAAGCAGATCTCCTGTAGACTCTGAATCATCTGCCCTGAGATCCAGCTGATAGAGCTAGAACCACATTCCATAGAAACTACCATAGTTTGTTATCATCTATTGTTACATTGATGTCAACATACCTCCCAAAATGGAATTCCTTGAGAAAATATAATTGAGAAAATCAGGAACATGCTCAAAACTCTTCTGCAAGAGCCAAATTAGATACAGAGGAAGTGGTTCAAATGCAGACATGTCACAATCACATAGAAATCAGATACTCAAGTCTCTTAGCAAAAGGGGCACATGACAAGAAAGTACAGGAATTTCCTTATTTTCTATCATTGTTTCCATTTTGTCACTCACTCCAGAACTGTTTTCACCCAGCTGAACTCCTTTCCAGTAATGAGAGGGGATAGGTTTGTACAACATGCTTAACTAGGGCAATTAAAAACCATGCTTGAATTTGCACAACGTGCTAAGCTTGATTAACTTGAACATTGTTGGTAGTTTAATGTTTTATGTAAACTTGGATCAAATTAGTTGTTTCATACCTTGAAGCATTGTGCAATTTCAGAAAATGGATTAATTCAAAAACACAATGAAGTGTGTGGTATAAATTTGGCTACTGCGGAGTAATATGTTTGGCATTGAGAGAAGATGTCTGAGAGGAGATATGACAGCACTTTTCAAATATCTGAAGGGATGTCACACAGAAAAGCTTAAGGCCTGGTCTCTCTCATTCCAGATTTAAGCTGCAGAGGGGCAAATTCTGACTTAATATTAGAAAAACCTACCCAACAAAAATAGCAATTTGAAAATGGAACCAATTACCCAAATAGATGATGAGCTTGGTTATGTTTAAGTGGAAGCTAGATGGACATCTGTCTGAGATGCACTGATCTGGATATCCACACAGCAGTATTTGGACTCAGTGATGTAATGGGCCCCTTGCAATAGAGATTTCACCCTTGTTCCTTAAATTAGACAATACCTCCTGAGTTATATGTTCTTGCAATAGATTCAGGATTTGATACACAGATGTACCTAGAACATACATGAAAAAATTTCAAGTGGATTGCACATCACAGCAGGCTATGTAACCAACTCAAAATATTCTATGAATCACCCATGAATTAGTTCCCATTCCAGTATGCACCAATGTTGCTGCTTGACATATAGACCACACACATTCAGAGCTAGGCAGACAGGGAAACTGCAGGATACAGTCCAAGTATTTGCCAGCTGTAGTCCTGATGGTCTTTCCTGTCCAAGTGTGATTATGGTAGCAGTACCACACTTCTGCCCAGTGCTATGTGGTAACTATATTAGGTTACAGAATAGCCTGATCCACAGAAAAGCATCTGTAGAATGGATTTAACTATTACTTAGCTAATCCCCCACCCCAGTTTAGCTCTGCATTATCTTCAGTTGGCCTGAGACAACCCTCCTGGCAATCAAATTTGAAACCCAACACTCAGCCTACAGATACCTACTTGCAAACTGTGTGGATGGGGGTAGAATCATATGCCACACTTGAAAGGCTTTTAAAAGCAGTGCTCAGCCTAGTCAGAAAATCTGGAGTAGTAATTGTGGAAGAAAAGAAGTGATAAAGGAGGGAGAGAATATTTAAAAAAAACAAAAGCAAAAACCAGGAGTCATAGCAAGAACTCCTGGAAAGCAGCCAGCTGACTTCAGATGGAATGAATGGCAGCAGCTGATTCTCTCGGCATCAGGTAAACTCCTTTGGGATATGAACTGCTGTTGCTCTAAGGAATTTCAGTCTGACTTGGCATGCAGGAATGTGAAGTTCAGCTGCCCGGCTGTCAAGAGAAGCAGAGCAGAGCACTGTTCCCCATCTATATAGTTATGGAACCAAAGGGTCTAGGAAGAAAGAGGAATTTCTCAATGCCCTGATGAAGGATTAACACCTGGTTATTTAGAGCCAACAGTACAATCCAAATGGATAAATATGAAAAATATTTAAATAAATTAATGTTGGATTGGGGTAAAGAAGGCTTAGATGATAGTTGCTGGAAAACAGTAAAAATGGCTGTTCTGCCCCATAACTAAGCCTACACAGAACCTAGAATATGGATAGGCATCTTTTGACCGAAAATGTATTTAAGCCTCTTGGGTAGTGATGCCTTATCACCAGAGCATCGGTCAAAGAAGGTATACAAAGAATATGATTGAGAGCATGCTAGAAGTAGAAATGCTCTGCTTGAATACACTCCCATCTAGATGGTCATCACTACTACCTATTAGCAATCTCTTTGTTTTACTGTAAAAACTTACTGATGGTAGATTATTTGCTTAGTGTAGTGTTTTTATATACAGCTGGGATTTATTATTTTAAGTATGCAGATCCAGTTGGAAGTGGACTCTAATCCTTTTGGTTTCTAGGTATTATGTGTGTCAACCAAGTTCTCGCCTCAGGTTGCTACACTGCTACTACTAAAACAGTAGTTTTACTGTTGACTGTTGACTTAAATCAACTTCCTCGCTGCTGCAGGTTGTAGGATCTGGGGGAGTTGTAAGGCTAGAATCAAATGCTTCCTTGCTCAAGGGGGGAAAAGCTCTGTAGTTGGGAATCAGGAGCAAATCAAAGCTGTCCAGAAATATTTTTGGCAATGTTACCAGAAAATCTTTAATCAGCTTAGTTTAGCATTTCCATATATTAGCAATAAATTTTACATTTTAGTGGATGAATGATGGGACAGGACAAAACTGGATTTCTGGCTGTGAAATTACAGGTTTTTATTTTGCTTTTCCCCTTCATGGATCACTGCCTTGTCGTGGCGAAGGGGCTTGCATAACTCAGTGAAGCCATGAGCTATACCGTGCAGGGCCACCCA